CCGCCCGCAGGAGGGGCCGCGGCGCCGTCACCCTCCCCTTGTCTCTAAAAGGAAGGTGTTGGATGGTCACCGCATCAGATCCGCGCACGCGAGAGCAAAGCGTCTCCCTTCTCACCCTCCCGAGTAACGTCCAGCGAGTGCCACTCTTGTTCACAGTAAGCTACTAAGTACAACTAACGCCGGGGTTCTACAAATAAAGTTTAAAGTAAAAAAAAAAGAAAATTAAAAAAATAAAAATCTTATACTGTATATGGGTTGTGACACTATTCGGAAATCTTGAAATGTGGAACTTCTGGGTCACAAAAGACTTGTTCCTAAAACCTGTACTAGAGCTAATACAGTGGGATTGTACATACTCGTTCAATTATTTTGACCAAAAAGTTTAATAAATTTTAAATGTTTACCTGGACTTGCTCTGTGTATTTTGACAAATTTTTCTTCCATTTGTGAGCTCACTGGCCCGACGAGCCCGAGCCAACCCGAGGCTTGTTTGTATTTCCATTTTAAATGGTTACTTTTGGAATGGTCACACCTCTCACGCAGAACACTGTCTGTTCGTACTCGGTGAATATATCAGTGCTGTCTATTTTTGATCTATTTTTTCAACAAATGTAAGTGGAATATGAGTACAAAGAAAAAGGATATGATGAAATCTTCTATTATATAAAACATGATTTGCTTGTAACACTTTCAATTAAATAGTTTTTGACGATTCATGAAATTTTTTTAGCATTTCATTTTATCTAAAAATATCGTCAATTGGAGAAGATCATTGTTTTTTTAATATTTTCCCCAAAAGGGGTTTGACTGCGGTGCTCACGGTTGCGCTGCCTCGCGGGGTTCCCTCTCTGTGGGTGGAACATCTTCCCGTGGTGGGGACAAGGGCTCGGGGACAATCGCCTTCCCCGCGTGGTCCCGCTGGTCTCTGCTGCTCCCTGTCGGGGTGACTTCAGGCCTCCCTTGGGTTCTGCTCACGCCCTGTCCCTGCCTTCGGTGACATTTTGCAACGCGTGTTCCGGCGAGGGTGGCTGCAGCGTGACGCAAAACACCTCCCGGGAATTCTCCCAGGTGGAATAAAACGGGAGCCCAGGGAGCTTCCGCTGCAGGCGGCTGCCTCTGTGCTGGCAAATGTCGGCGCCTCGGTTACCGGAGCGGTGATGGGGCGCAGGCCCTGGGGCTGGCGGGACCACTCCCCTCTGCCTCCCGTGCGCTGAGGAGCGCGGGGTGAGGTTGTACCAGGGCTTACAAGGAATCTTGGGTTTAAATTTGGATGCAATTGTAAAAAAAGGTCTTTGCTTTTTTGTCAGAGGAAGGAGCAGCAGCTGGTCCAACAGTCAGTCCAGTGCCCCTGTTTTTAGTGCAGCTTGGGTGGAACGCAGCCTCAGCTGTGCCCCTTGCCAGACTAGAAAAAAGAAAATAGGATTAATTGTGGTCTATCAGTCCACTTTTTAGCACACAGAGACATCCAGTGCCAAAAGCCCAGACCTGGACCTCCTGCAAAAGGTGTGGGGTTACAGTCAGAGCACTGAGGACAAGCAACGGAAAGGGACACGGCAGCGCTGGCAGGAGGAGGCACCCGTGTCCATCCAGGTCCCGCTTCCCACACCAACGACAAAGTCAGGGCTGCTAAATAAGGACAAAAAGAAAGTGGAGAGAAAATGTATTTTTTAAATGACGATGGTAGGAAGCAGACCACGCACTTGGAAGTTTGTGTTTACCGCATGGCTTCTGCCACCCTTGCCAGGTTCCAAGCTAAGAATAAGCACGGAAGTTGTTTTCTACGGAAACTCACTTGGCGGTTACGCAAGTCACCAGCGTGAAACTCTTGGTTAAAGAGTAAGAGCCTGGTCAGCCACTTTCAACAATTACTAGACAGAAAAGGAACAAGAAAACTGCATCCACGGGGAACCTTTTTATTTAAATATATAAAACATTTTGGCAAACATTCATTTTCTTCTCATTAAATAAGGTAAAATCACTGAACAAAAGGGCATTGCATTAGTAAAAACAAAGAAGCAAGTGACCCGTTTTAAAATCTATACAAGGATGAGGCAAATATAAGATGCAAATTTATTATTTTACAGATAGACTGGAAAGCGATAGTCTGCAAATAGATACAACAGAAGGAACTTTTAATTGAGGCATTAAATAAACGTCTTAGCAAAAGAAGCTATTTATCAGGCACTAAACTCCAAATTTTAATCCGGGCTGTTCTGCATCACGCTCTGAACTACTAAAAACCGGTGAAATTTCACTCACGTGCTGGTTTCTTCCAGCTGACTCCATCTCTCGCTATTTCCCATCTCAGACGCGAGGCAAAGAGCTAAGCAACGCCCACAGCAGGAAGAAACCGCGCGAGTGAGGTAAACGCCCTCTGAATTCCCACTCCCAATCCGTAAGGCCACACGTTGCTCTGGGCTAATCCCTTTTTGTCGCGATTACAGCGGCGGTGATGAATATTCACGTCGATGAAGTCCGAAGG